TATATATATATGTATATATCTATCTATCTATATATATATATTTATATAAATTTATACTATAAAAACTCAAGAACCATACAATGTCTTCAAATCAATACGTACAGCCGTACAGTCCCACCAAATTGAACCAAGAACCCGCCAAATTTTACGAGTCAACCAAGGCCTACGTGACTTACGTGTCACAGAGACGCAGACTCCCACGCGACTCACACTGGGACTGAGCGAATGCGTTTGCAATAGCCAATGAGATGAACGAACAGCGACTAACCTATCCGTGAGCATATATAAATATAAATAAATATATCTATGAGAACTATAGTGCCAGTATACTACTGTGTTCACACACACTACAATAAGACTCAAGGATAGTTGTGCACGCACATATGAACCCAACAGCCGACTCATGTATCTAAGCACTTTGGCAATTATTCAGTTCAATCATAAACACACACACAGTACACAAGAATAATAGTATATGCACACACCAATGCAATAGCCGGTCCAAGCATACAAGCACTAGGCAACTGTTCAGTTCAATGACAAACACTCACATAGTACACAAGAATAGTAGTATATGCACAGACCAATGCAATAGCCGGTCCAAGCATACAAGCACTAGGCAACTGTTCAGTTCAATGATAAACACTCACATAGTACACAAGAATAGTAGTATATGCACACACCAATGCAATAGCCGGCCCATGTATACAAGGACTAGGCAATCGTTTAGTTCCTTCAAGCGCAAATTGTCGTAGTGGTGCGCTTGGATTGAGCAATCTGTCGAACACTCACAAAAGACACTAACACGGGTTTACGCTATCCATCGTACTCAAGTACTTCATGGCATAGCATCATCGTACAAATAAAGAATACTACACTTACAACCACCACTCCCCAAATTATTTCAGTATCAGGATTATGTTGAACGCAGGTCTAATTGTGCGCACCGTGCACAAAAGGTGTACGTGGCATTCTGTGTGTGCACAGATGCATATGGTTCAACCCCACACTCCTAAGACACCGTTGCTACTCGCTCGAAGCAAGCAATACAGCACTACCACGCACACAATAACAACTCCATGTGGGTGTCACAGTACAGACCATTTGCATGGCTACAAGAGTCTCGCGCAAGGCACACCTATCAATACCACACAAATAAAAACACGTCGTCGTCTACACACAAGCTATCCTAGATGTTCAGCGGAAACACACACACACAAACATGATACGACTCACACATCTGCAAGCACATCGACTACCGCGTCTCTACAATTCCGTGCGCGTAGTAATCAGCGTTTCTCTCTGCGCCACACACAATATCCGCTGAAGGGGAGTGTGGATGCCTACTTAGACAGTATTATACATAGCCCTTCGGCGACTCGTGTGTCTGTAGCCAGGCGTGCATTGGAGCGACTCAGCCCTACCGCAGAACACGGAGGGGCGTCTGTTGGGGTGACGAAGGAAGGCTCGGGCATGGGAGATATAAGGGGTATAAACTACTCCTCATTGATAGATCAACCTCTACACAGTACAGTTATCACCAGGGCACAGGAATATGTGCAGGATTTTGCACGGCAGGTGGTCAAAGGGAAACGAGCCAAGAACGAGAGCGTCAAGAACTGGGCGAGTGATGCCGAGAAATACGGGCTGCGTATGCGTGTGGAGGAGACTCGTACAACACATACACACTCGGACACGCCTACAGATAAACCTACAGACACGCATACAAACATCCATGCTATTGCCACACACACACAGTATGAGGTAGATGGTGCTGCTCTACAGGAAGATGTTGGTAATGGTAGAGTGCTGGCACAAGGCGAGTCTCTCAGGGCCGAGAGTATTGAAGAGGGTCAAGTCTATGGACAGACTAAATCTGACAGACCTGGTGGCGTAGAAACAGACACTACCACTAGTTTACATACAGATACAAGCAACGCCACTGTGGGCAGCGCACCTGGCGAACTAGCAGGCACACCTGAGAAACTATTGCACACACCCTGGGAAACAACCCTGGCAAATAGAGGAGCTATGACCACGCAGAACCAGACTGTAGGAGGAGACAGACCCAAAGAGGATAAGTACATGCTCAAAAACCTGGCAACTGAAGTCCACCGCATGAGGAAGGCTAAGAACTCGGGGTATTTGAGGGATGCGGAGAGTAAGGTAGACGCCCTGATGTCACGCCAAGCACTGGTATCAGCCGATGCCACGCACGCGATAGCTATCTACAAGGACGTACATCAGCCGCAGAAGGCTGTGCAGGTGCTGAGATTGCTGCAAACCCGGCAGCACCCGGTATTCGCCTACCACTACGCACCCGTTGTCGCTGCTCTGGGAGCGGCAGGGGATATAGATGGCGCGTTTGAGATGTTTATTGACATGGACAAGCATAATATCCGCAAGAACACGGTTGTGTATGCGAGTCTGATGCATGTGTACGTACGAGCGGGCCTGGGGCAGGTGGCCATTCATCTCATGCGTGAGATGCGGCTGGAGGGTATCACACCCGATGAATTGGTCTACAACACGGCTATAGGTGCCTACGGCCAGAACCAGCAATGGGACCGTGCGCATGGGCTGTTGGAGGAGATGCGAGCGAATGATATCGTCCCGTCTGTCGCAACGTATAATGCGTTCCTCACAGCGTATGCCAACACTGATCGGTTGTCATCTGTACAGCAGCTCATGGAGGAGATGAGACAGAGGGGTGTGAACCCAGACACAATGACATACAGCATTGCCATTGACGTATGTGCCAAGATTGGGGAGTACAACATAGCTATGAATCTGTATAACGACATGAGTAAGGATAAGGTGACACGCAGCAAAGCCATCTACAAGTCTCTGATGACATTATGTGCAACGTATGGTGAGGCCGATATGGCCATTGGATTGCTGAGTAAAATGAGCGAAGAGAAGGTCAAGGTCTCTTATTCTACCTACGTAGCAGCCATACGTTCATGTGAAAAGAACCGGCAGCACGATACGGCTCTGAAAGTGTTCCAGATGATGTTTTCGAATGACGGGAAACGACCGGGTCCTGCGGCCTACAACGCAGTTATGAATGTGCACAACGCCAGCGCTATGTTCCAAACATCTGTGAACATTCTGCGTGGCAAATCACTTACGAAAGTCGGCGATGCCGAGACGTATAACCTAGGCATCACTGCGTGTAGCATGGTAGGCAATATGGATAAAGCGGTGCGCTTGATGCATGATATGCGGGCCAAGGGCTTCACACCTACAGCACATACAGGCCTTGCAATAGTGAATGCATGCTGTAAGGCCAAGCGGTGCAAAGACGCTGTGGCGATGTTAGAGCTCGTGGAGGCAACAGACGAACAACCCCAAGACACGTTGTATAATAGTGTCATTGGGGTATGTACGTGGAAGGGGGAATGGAACGTTGCCGTGAGTATTGCGGATCGTATGCGTCAGAAGGGTATTAGGTGGAATGCGGGAACCTATAGAAATGTTGTAGCGTCTCTGGTGGAGATAGGCGGAGCTATCGATCGAATTGATGAGCTATACGAGCAAATGACTGGCGATTTAGATGCTGTGAGAAATGTGTGGGCCGGTTTCCACAGGACAGGGACACTCGACCTTAGCCTGCATAGCCCGTACACGGCACAGGCGGCAATAAGGCGGCTATCTCAAAACCTGGCAAAGCAGCAGAAGGAAAATCCTAGCAAGACCCAACGAAATATTGTCTGTCCAAAGATAGTTGCAGGCACGCAGGCAATGTTCAGTGCTGTGCATGCAGAGATGAGCAACATGTCACCTCCTCTGACAGCGGTGACATATGTCAATGGATTGGTTGTGATTGACGCGAAGGAGTTTGAGAAATGGATGCAGCGATGATAGCACACAAATGTTGCCCATCACCACAGTCAATCGAGGAAGGCTCGGAACCGCGCGCCTCAATGCAGACGCTGTTAAAACGATTATAGTTATGGTTAAAATATCGGAGAACGCCCCAGACGTGGGATTCTAGGGGGATTCGAGTTCTGTGGTTCTTTGTTTTTCTGTTTGATATACTGTACAGACTGGTTATGTATGCCTATATGTCAGGAAAACCTACATTCGCTTATACAACCCTGTTTTGGTATGCGTACAGCTTGCTGATATCAACAAGTAGTCAGTAGCATTGAAAAATGGTATATACATTTCACTTGCTGTACATGCAGCACTTTTGATTGTGGAGGCACATAGTTTGCATTTGCATGTGTATGTGTACTTCATGAATATATACAGTTTTGTGATGTGCAACAATAACGCTATATGTAACCATAGTTGTTAGGACACAACGAACGTGGATGAATACTACTTCTATTCGATATCTCGCGATGATGAGGTACAATATACTCTAAACCACAATCGCGTGATTCAGCTTTCCGAAACATTCCCGCACAAAGATATTGCAAATTTTGGTGATGAAAACCTCCATGTATGTCTCGATGAACGTCACTTTCTCGAAACTCATATGGCAAGCGAATAATAGTAGCTACAATTGCTATCATCCGGATTGTCCCTACATTGATCTGATCTGGGGAAACTGAAGTCGGACGGCGAGACAGCGCCCGTTGTTTGTTGTATATGTCGAAAAAGTTATCATTGTTTCCGTGGGCGGCAATTTCAAAGCAGAAACAATATGATATACCTTTGTCCAAAGCCCAACCAGCCTGTTCGCGACCTCTTTTTTCTATTTTAAACCCCTCTTCGTCTGGATTGACGTTTTCAAGTCAGAAAATTATCTTGGCACCCTCCCTGTCCACGTATATAGGTAGATAGATTATTAATCCTGGGCACTCTTCTATCTTGGCACCCTCCCTGTCCACGTATATAGGTAGATAGATTATTAATCCTGGGCACTCTTCCTGTGAACGTATGTAGGTAAATAGGTGACGTATTTTGGGTATCCTTTTTATGAACGTATGTAGGTGGATAGTTAATTTATCATGGGCTCTCTACCTTTTATCGTATGTAGGTAGATAATGATTTATCTCAGGCACTCTTTCTACTCACGTATATAGGTAGATAGATGAAATATCTTGAGCACCTTCCTAGTCACGTATGTTAGTAGATAGACGATTTCTTATAATTGGTCCGTGCGGAGGTGTCTTTCTCTTCGTCAAAATACGACGACTTGACGATATGTCCACGACACAATTCCGTGAATTTGCACAGGCGGTATCATATAACCACGAGCAATGGTCGATGGATTCACGGCAGTCAAATCCACGATTCGAAAAAGTTACTTGTAACAATGTAGTGGTGTAGAATGATCTGCCTAGCAAGTTGGACTTCAGCCGGTGTCGCACAGGTGACGTATTATCCTTTCTCTGGCTGCCAGAACTTATCATGAAGTACGAAAATATGAACTCGCATCCGTAGAAAGTGGCGAAAATACAGCTACAGATTGTGGTAGAAATGCAGCCTTCGAAGATGGAGCAGACTTTGCTACGGACAGTGATGTCGGGCATATGCAGTTACAGTCGCAAACGGAGATCAAGAAACGTTTGAGTGCCGACTGAGAAGTTGCCTACAACTCTGAGATTGCCACTCCTGGAATCCGTGGAATGACTGGATCCATGTTTCAAATGAACGTTGTTCTTGGTTCGTTCATCGCCACCATCGTGACACTCTTTATCAAGAATTGGCACTTGGGGCTTATGCTTCCCGCTATTCCCGGGGTTGTCATTGCTGTTGCAATTTGGTTCACACCAGAGTCCCCACGATATGTTATGAGAAAAAAGGGATATGATGAAGGAGCTGACGATCTTACCAAGATTCGAGGTGGTGACATCACCGCCGAAGCACAGGAAATCTATGAGCAGTTGAAGGCAGAGGAAGAAGCCGGTACCGTATCGTACGGAGATCTGTTTTCAGAGCCTAACTTGCGCAAACGTATGTTGATTGGGGTCTTCTTACAGATTGCTCAGCAATTGACAGGTGTGAACGCATTCTTGGGATACGCTTCTACCATCTTCGCTGCCATTGGTATGGACGATCCTTTCTTATTCAACATGATCTGGAACGCTGTCATGGTATTCGGCTGTGCCGTTGGTCTAGGTTTGCTAGATTCCAAGATTGGAGGACGTCGCAGACAGTTATTAATGGCAACCTTCATTATGGGCCCTCCCCTCATCCTTGGTGCTGTATCTCTACAACTTGACTGGAACGGCTACGTCACTATGGTCATGGTGTGCGTCTATGGCTTTGGCTTCCAGCTCGCCTGGGGTATGATCCCATGGATCTATCCCTCTGAGATCTTCTCCATGAGAGAGAAGGACAAAGCCATGTCGCTTGCTGTATTCTGGCAGTACTTGTTCAATGCCATCATTGTGTTTATCACCCCAAACATGATGGGTTGGTCCACACCCGGTACCTTCTACGTGTTCGGCGGATTGAATTGCATCAATTTGGCGTTTGTTATTCTCTTCATCAAGGAGACCAAGGGTGTTCCATTGGAAGGGATCCCAGCTTTATTCGGAGCTAAAGCAGGAGTACGCTCTATGGCCTAAAGCCAGTTTAGTCCAGTTTAGTAGTACAAATATAATATATAAACATAGCAAATACCGTCTTAAATACTATATATAAATATGTATATATGAACATTGAAGAACTATTTATCTGAAGTGCTGCTCAGAAGATTATGCATTGTCTTCAATTATTTCTTGACGATAATCAGTGACTGTATCTGCATCGCTTCTTTCGCCGAATCCACAACCCAGGCCGGCAACTTCTCAGTCGGCATCTCAAACGTTTCTTGATCTCCGTTTGCGGCTGTGACTGCATATGCCCGACATCACTGTCCGTAGCAAAGTCTGCTCCATCTTCGAAGGCTGCATTTCTACCACAATCTGTAACTGTATATTCGACACTTTCTATATATAATATATATATATATATATATATATGTATATATATAATTAGTAATAGTATAGTATATATATATAATAACTACTACTAATAATACTATATATATATATATATATATATATATATATATATATATGAGTATATGTAATATATTTCACAATACAAGTTATATTCTCAAGGCTATTAAGATATGATCATGGTTTATTTTAGTGGCGAAGCAGGAAGCAATGGCTGATCAAACGCAGAACAACATCATCGTTCTTCGATTTTTAAAGCAGAACCACAAGTACGGAGTTCCAAATACAAGATAAATAGAGATTCAAATCAAACACGTGTATCAAGGTACAGCGTGCAATGCACTAAAATTTGCGATACCAAGAATAAAGGATAGATATATCAATTAGCGCGGATATTCTAGAAACCGAGTTGTGGTTTGTGATTATGATAACATTCAAAATCGCTTGTATATAGCTCCGCACGCAGCTCCGCACGCATAATTGTAGTTTGGGTAATCTGGAAATACACATAAGATAGAAGATTTGTCCAATAACAGCCTGAATACAGCGAGAAATGTCACATATTTACAGTGGACATTGATATACATACATGTGCACAAGGATAGACTTTTAAATATGTACATTTGAATATATATCCACGCCCATATATGAATATAATATAAGTGGTATGTACCATGTACACAGCACAAAAAAAATACCGCATGAAAGTTGGAAACTTGGGTCAGGCCGTCAGGGACTCAGAGAGTGATAAAACCCTAAAACCTTAAATACCAAAACCTTGGAATAACTCAAAACCCTGTAATCGGTTGTTGGTCAACGGTTGGCGGAAAAATGCGCGGGAAAGCGGATCAGAGGGAAAAGCCCTACAGAATAATTATATCTATATTTATTATTGATTTCTTCATTCATGTGGATATCTCTGGAGATATATATTTATATATATGTGTAGTTGTGTGCATCGTATAGTGAATGTGTATACCATATTATATATATCCATACGTATAGTGAATGTGTATACCATATTATATATATCCATACGTATAGTGAATGTGTATACCACATTATATATATCCATACTGAATGTGTATATCACATATAGTTCCGGTTTTACTACATAGGGGCTTATGTCTAGTCCGTACATACTCCGTCACGCATTGATTCACATGTATGTCTAAATTGCGGTTCCTTTACTGGCGTTTGCTTCCAAAGATATTTATCTGTGGCATATTGCTTCTGATTGAACTCCACTTTCAACCAACAATCCCTTACTACAGGATAGGTCTTATAGGCAATTACGAGGAAGATACACTTCTACTTTTGTACTTCCTTCTCGTTGTTACAGCTATAGAGGTATCCAAGACTGCATTCCTTATTTCTGCCAAGGTGTGTCTTGGTAGGTAATTATTGCAGTTCGTATCATACGTGTATCAGCACACACCACGTTCGCATACTACATTATATCTATAGAAGTACAATACCACCACACGCGTGCAACCACACGCGCTAGTCACGCTCATATACCCTTCCAGTAATATTCAAAAAACCTTCCAACAAGATGGCTGACTGGGACTATGGAGAAGATGACATCATGGATCACGGCGTAAGTGTAATATATATATATATATATATATTTATATATATATGCGATATGGTGTTCTTGTTGATTTCTGCAGGTGTGTGGTATGATCGTGAACCGGGAAGTTTTTCATGCTCAATATTTCTAGAACATCAAATTCTTCAAATATTTTGGTGTGAGCAAATGCGTTACAAATTGACGATTGGAAAAGTATATTGCACAGCTATATACGCTCGAAACTTTGAATGGCCCGTGAATCATTTATTTGATCCCACAGGGACAGCTTAAAGCACAAGCCTCGCGACGCTGAGGTCGAATGGCCCGTGAAGTCATATTTAGACCCACAGGTATAGCTTAAAGTACAAGCCTCGCGATGCTATATATATATATATATATAATATACTATATATATAGTGTCGCGAGGCTTGTTCCTTTAAGCTATCCCTGGTATATATATATATATGTTTGTGTGTGTGTATGTATGTACGTATGCATGTAAGTACGTATGCATTTATGTATATATGTATTTATGTATGTATAAATAGTATATATATATATATATATATATGTATATATATATGTATGTATGTATGTATACATGTATATATGTATATTTTTATTTTTATTATATTTATATATATATACACGTTTGCACGCTCACTGATTGGACGAATACGAGCTTCAGTTGTTGTGGCGCTGTTTGCAAAGTCTTCCCTGGTTGCGAGTGTATGCTGCCAGGTCTGATAGATACTTTGCACGTGGTGGTGCTTTAGGTGTTTGCTCTAGTCTGCTATACAGGCGCACGCACAACATACAGTATACCATTGCCGCTGATGTTTTAGGACGGTTGAAAACACATCTTGTTACATTAAGTACCATTCATTATAGTCTTAGCGGATGGGGTGCATACACCATGCAGCCGTGTCAGCCCATTATCATACCCCGTACTCTAACGCCCACTCGGGCACAGCATTACTCGACACGTTTCATATTGCAAGCTTGCAAACGGGATGGACATCGCAATTTAGTTTTCATGCCTTACCACCCACTTCATAGCCCCTGCCAATCACCAAGTATAATTGGCTTCTGGAGCGTGTAGTTATCGTTCAATAGACCTGGCTCACACTTTTTAATACTGCCGATTTACGAACTGGCATGTTCAACCAAGGTCGTATATTGCCCACCACAACAGGAAGTGAGTAAATCTATCAATAGCTATGTCTGTCTAGCTCACTGTTGCTCCTGTTTCCCATTTTAGGTCTTGGCGCCATTGAACACGGTCAAAAAAGCTCCGCGGCCAGCAGGAAAGAAGACTATCGAAGAAACATACCAGAAGAAGACGCAGCTGGAGCATATACTTCTGAGGTGAGTACTTGGAGTGGGTATGATGTGGCATATACTTCTGAGGTGAGTGCTTGGAGTGGGCGTGATGTGGCATATACTGCCGAGGTGAGTACTTGGAGTGGGTATAATGTGGCATATACTTCTGAGGTGAGTACTTGGAGTGGGTATGATGTGGTGCATTGGTTAGTCCGCCCTCCTATGGTGGCATATGGTGGCAGAGGACTTGTATGTATGCTATCTGTACTATTATATGTAGGTTCTTAACGTTACTGTCAGAAAATCTTCTCTATCGAGTTAATTTGTCCACATACAAATGGCTGCATTTCACGTTCTCGTTGTGAATACATACACCCAATTGGATTAGGCCGAGTGAATTGGTCACAGCTGTGGTGTATGTGATCGTCCACAGTAATGCGACACACCTTGAATAGTGTCGTTTGGGCATGTTGGACTGACCGTCTCTCGTGACAGGCCAATGTCAATGCTTCTTCTTGGGCTGAGGAATGGCAATCACTCACAATCGATGTCAGTGCTAACGTTTTTGTCCTTCATATCGAGAAGAAAAGGTTTTATGCTCCTTCATATCGAGAAGAAAAGGTTTTATGCTCCTTCATATCGAGAAGAAAAGATTTTATGCTCCTTCATATCGAGAAGAAAAGGTTTTATGCATATCAGGACAATATCTGAATTGACATATGTTTCCAACAGACCCGACTCGTACATTGGGTCGACGGAGGCATCGACTGAGCAGATGTGGGTGTACGACCAGGGCACAGGCATGGTCTTTCGCAAGGTCACCTACGTCCCCGGGCTTTTTAAGGTAAGCATGTACATGCATACGTATACACATATCACTCACTCACACACATATATATATATCTATATATATATATATGTGTGTGTGTATGTATATGTATATATATAATGTATGTATATATATATAATGTCTGTGTCTGTGTGTGTTGTGTGTGTGTCTGTGTGTTAATTGTAGCATGGTTGTGTAGAGTGCGAGGTGTTTCTAGTGCAGCTGCAGCAATCTCGATCCTTGCCAACGGCTATTACGCGAGTTGGTATATTATTCGCAAGTCAGGACAATATTCACACCCAGACATAGCAGGAGAGAGGGGTGGTAGTCTGTTGCGGTAGTGTCGAATGGATGTCATATCCCAGATCCCATGGAGTGAGACATGATATTTTTGAATTCTGTCATGAATCCGAGTACTCGCAAGTACCACGCCAGCTATTCACGCCCGCACTCATGGCCCCCACAAAGATCAATCCTTTGATACGTTCACAGATACATGGACACGCTACTAGTACCATGCCAGCTATTCACGCCCCCCACAAGGATCAATCCACTGATACGTTCACAGATACATGGACACGCACGAATTCTTTCACAGTTCTAGTTCTCCGATGGGATTGCTATCACAGCCCAAAGTATTCGGCTGCCTGTCGTGTCGAGAGGCGCACATGTGAAACCCTATACGAAGCCAAGTGGCTAGCACAGATGCTCTCGCTTCTATGCGCTTATATAGCTGTATATACACAGCTCTTATACTACCGCAGAGCCCTATACGGAGCCAAGTGGCTAGCACAGATGCTCTCGCTTATATAGCTGTATATACACAGCTCTTATAATCCCGCAGATTTCCGATGATTTTGCAGTGAACACGACACAGACCAGTGTCTCTATAGCTTCTCATATGTGTGTGTCTATAGCTTCTCATATGTGTGTGTCTATAGCTGCGCATATGTGTGTGTCTATAGCTTATCATATGTGTGCGTCTATAGCTGCTCATATGTGTGTGTCTATAGCTTCTCATATGTGTGTGTTTATAGCTTCTCATATGTGCGTGTCTATAGCTTCTCATATGTGTGTGTCTATAGCTTCTCATATGTGTGTGTCTATAGCTTCTCATATATGTGTGTCTATAGCTTCTCATATGTGTGCCTATAGCTTCTCATTTGTGTGTGTCTATAACTTCTCATATGTGTGTGTCTATAGCTTCTCATATGTGTGTTTCTATAGCTTCTCATATGTGTGCGTCGTTGTCTTGCAGATTTTCGACGAGATTCTCGTGAATGCGGCGGATAACAGACAGCGCGACAAGAACATGAACACCATGAAGATCGACGTGGATGTGGAAAACAACTCCGTCAAGATATGGGTACGTGCACGCGACTCGAGTTTGTGCCTGTGCATAGTTCCCATACATGCACATTTGGCTATGGATAAGCATCTTAAATAGCTTTATCCACGTATTGATTTGGGACATGGATTCTTATATCCACAAACGCTCGCATGGCCCCCATGTTCTGGTGCTATAGCGTGGACATCGATTTGAGTTTAGGGTTTTAAACCCCTTAAACCCTAAATCGGACATTGCTCCTCCCATTAGTTTCAGCCGCCAATTGTGAGGTCTCAATAGGATGGCTTCATTATTGGTCGGTGCCTTGTTTGTTGCTTTGTACTGTCGACGGTTGCATGGTGGTTGGAGGGATATTTTGGGTTTGGTTGTATGTCGTGACAAGAGCTGATATATGTGTATGTGCCACAAATGTCTATTCATATAAATATGTATAGCATATATTATCCATATATCTATGTATAGCGTATATCTATATATATAACTATGTAAAACGTATATATATCCATATAATTATGTATTGCGTATATCTATCCATATAACTATGTATAGCGTATATCTATCCATACAACTATGTATAGCGTATATCTATTCTTGACCATGTACAACGTAGGAATATATACTATCCTTCTCTTCTATCGAAGTCTTTTGCGAACTCTGCTCTCTCGACTGTCGTCTGGGTGAAATCGTGATGTGACGTGTCTTTGTTCACATATAGCCCATGCCCCATACATTTCCTAACCTTTATGTATGAATAAACCATTGACACAGAACTTCTACGCTTGTGTCTGAAATCTCGACTTCTTGCTCAATCTATTTATAGAACAACGGCGCGGGCATTCCTATCGAGATGCACAAGGACGAAAACGTCTACGTGCCAGAGCTGATCTTCGGACACTTGCTAACATCCTCTAACTACAATGACACGGAGAAGAAGGTATGGCACGCACACGCATGAATGCATATGTTACTGACTCACACGTGTATGAATACAAATGGTACTGACTCACGTGTATAGATACAAATGCTCGTACAAGTTCCGAACTGTGGCGTAGTCATCCGTTTTGCCCACCTGTCTGAACACTTATGAATTGGTTATGAGGTTCGTTAGTCGCTGCGTCGGTGGGATGGTATTCTCGGGCGTGCACGTGGTGCTTGGCTTCAGGATATGTGTGTGCACTTGCGTACGTCATTTGGCATTGAGCTGTGGAGAAAACGAGTGTATATGTAAAACCTATCGAACTTTCAGTAACTATGTGAAACCTATCGAACTTTCAGTAAATATGCAAAATTTAACGAACGTTGAGTGTATACGTAAAACTCAATAAAACTTTGTGTATCAACAAACATATATATGTAAAACTTAATAAATATTGACTGTATGTGTAAAGCCTAATAAACGAGTATATCTGTAAAACCTAATGAACTTTGCAAGGATGTGAGAAATTTTCCGAAGCTTGATATGCACATTTAATTGTACATGTTCACAAATAAGCATGTTGGTACATATTTACACAAGCAAATACACCTGATGACGAATGTCGATGATGTTAGATGCATAAAAGGCAACTCAGATCCAAGTTGAAGTACATGTCTATGCCACAATCCGGCCGACACAGCCACTCTTCGCATGCACGCAGATACACACACACTGTCGACTACACCCACGTGTGGCTTATCGCACACCGTTCCATTGTGCAGGTCACTGGTGGTCGCAACGGATACGGTGCCAAACTGTGCAACATCTTCAGTGAGGAGTTCACCATAGAAACCGCCAGCAAGGCCACCGGAGAGAAGTACACCCAATCCTTCACGCGCAACATGAGCAACATTGGCAAGGCGAAGATCCGCACACCCGCGGCCGGCATTAAGGAGGACTATACATGCATCACCTTCAAACCTGTATGTTGTGTACATCTACACATGTGTGTTCTATATTGATATAGGTGGCTGTGTTTAACTATATGCCCGTAGTTTGGTGTGGATGTTGGTGTAGCGGTGAACATACGTCGTTTGAGAACGATGGAACAGTGCGGTGACGTGGTCCGTTTATTTCGCGCGAAGGATACGAAAGTGGTGCAGCAGAATCCTTGCCCTGTTCTGAGGAGAAAGGTCTGCGAACGCCAGAAATATGCCTTTGTTAAGGCGAGATCGACGTTGAGCCAAAAAGAAACTGGTGCGGAATAGATTTTGGCCTTTTCCGTCTTGGTAATAGTCGTTTTCTGCGTCATCGCCACCTTCTTCGCCTGGAAATAGCGTCTTTTCAGTCACTCTCACGGGCTTGGTTAACCTCCTTGTCAGAAGAGGAAAGATTTATGTACCGTTTTATTTGTGGTATGTTTTAGGGATGGGAATCCTGGTTTCTCTGTGAATGGAAGCTTGCTGTGGGAATCTGATGGAGTGTTGTATACTGGGTTGTCGGTGGATTATAATTCATTCTTCAACATCTAAAGGGCTTATTAGAAATGCGCCGTGTCTCTCGTTGTTGGTGCGAATACTGTTCAATACGATGTCCATCCTAAGTGCCAAACGGTTTATGTGTGTTTGGTATCTGGACAACGGTTAGCAGAAGATGACCGTCATATACTATTGGAAGCTACGTGAGGAGTCTATATCCTCTCGCCGTTCAGTATCGCATATTGCACGTGCACCCTTGTTTGGGGTAGTAATTGCAAAGATGCAGCAACGTATATTTAAGTATGCATAGAGTACTTAGGTTAGTTGGTGTCTAGTATGATCCATGATATGTATAAATCCTCGTACAAGTATCTCGTATATACCCCCCCCCCCCCCCAAAAAAAAAAAGACAGAAAAGGAAAAAAGAATGTCGTTTTATAGCCCCCCACGAGCCGTGAATTGGAGTTTGTGGTTCTTCTTGCCTTAGCACTAATCAGGATCATCTTTTGCACTATCACTGTCCCTGTCACCAACTATCTACATATTTTTCCTTAATATCTGCTACTGGTTAAACCTACCGTTCTCGCCCACTGTAACCCAATTGAATATCAGGATCTGGGCCGTTTTGGCATGCAGCACCTGGACGTGGATGTGGTTGCACTGTTCACCAAACGAGCCTACGATATGGCGGGATGTCTGCCAGGCGTCAAGGTATGAGTGTATGGGAACAGTATAGGTCTAACGGAAACCCAGGTCAGCCCAGTACGTCTGGTGGCATAGATGCCCTGAGGTGCGCATGTGCATGTGGGTGAGTACGGTAGGTATATTTCCGCTGGTGTGTGTGTCTCTATACCTCTCTGTGCGCGGATGAAGGCCACGCATCGAACCACTACTCTATGAGCGAACCGAGTAGGTGTTATTAATAGTCTGTACGTTGTGGGTTTGATGATGAGCCGGATATCAAATCATGATGTGTCGTCTGCATGCTGTGTGTTTAATTTTTAACATACAAGTATCTAAATATGTTTTAGGGTTTTTCTTAAAACTCATACAAGTCTCTTAATATCGGTGTGATCCAACCCACTCATTAATCACTGACCACCACACATTGTCATCGCTCCAGGTGATCTATAATGGCAGCAAGTTGCCGTGCAAGAGTTTCAAGGAGTATGTGAAGATGTACATTGAGAACAACCGCACCGAGGAAGGGCTACCCCTGCCATTGGTGCATGAGATAGTCAACAATCGGTGGGAGGTATGTTTGTGTAGAGGGTCGTTGGGAGTTTATGTATGTATGTATGTATATATATATATATATGGTGCCTGAGATAGTCAACAACCGGTGGGAGGTATGTTTGTGTGGAGGGTCGTTGGGAGTTTATATATATATATATATCTATTTATTTATATATATATAGGGGCGAGGTATGAATATGTTTGCGTAACCATGTGCGTCTTTGGGATCTACGTGATTGTGTGTGTGTTGATGTGACATTAAATATATATATGTGTATGTGTTTGGGCGATGGGGGGTGTGTGTGGGGGGCGGTGTATTAATATGTATACATACGGGTATTTGTGTACAATCAAATGTATATCTTCGTGTCTATGCATTTGTTTTGTGATTGGGGTTGCCTGTCTTTGATTTCTCACTTCCACGCCTGCTGGTGGCGGACATCTATGAGCACCTCACATGTTTGTGACGCTATTGATGGCACATTGGGCTGAAACACCCATGACCATCATGGAGATTAATCCTGAGAAAAATACGACAAACTGTTATAAAACACGTATGCTACTGGGAGTGGATATGTATAGTATACGACACCACACAACGCTGCGCCAAGCACATGTCCTGTGAGCCTTCCAATTCTCTAAGCGCCTGGGTCTCTACATCTGTAGGTGCTAGTGACAACAAGTGAGGGTCAGTTCCAGCAGATGAGTTTTGTCAACAGCATTTGCACCTCAAAGGGTGGGCAACACGTCAACCATGTCACAGACCAGCTCACCACCAAGATTATCGAGGTGAGCACGCGATCAGAAACCTGTCCCTATATATATAAAGTATATATGTATATATATATAAAGTACACACATATATATACATATATCAGATCACATAGACGTCGAGCGCAAATGTGATTTGTAGTCCACTAACACGTCACTAGTTGAATCGAACTTATTACACGTCGTTTACAAACACGCTTGCAATGTATGCATTCTGCTTAGGCAACCGGTTTCGCAGTGCATGAGTGTGCCATTGTGTGGATATGGATACTGGAGTGCACTTATAAAGGTATAGTGGTAAAGTTTAAAACGTGTTTCCGCAGCTTTACGTTGGCCAAAACACGTATACGGCATGTATCTTTGTGTCTATAGTTACGAATGTACACGTACATATACTGACAGCTTCTATATATACAGCTGATGCACCCTTGCTCGGGGAGTGTATTTCCTCAGGGCTCTCTCAGTATCATATGAACTTAAACTGTGATCTTGCCCCATAAGCGGTACACAGGGTATTCCAACGCAGACACTTCATACAGTTGTTTATAACCTGGTCCATCATATACTGTGATCGCCATTCAGGTGGTGAAGAAGAAGAACAAGGCTGCCCCGGTGAAGCCCTTCCAGATCAAAAACCATCTGTGGGTGTTTGTGAATGCGCTGATTGAGAACCCCAGCTTTGACTCACAAACGAAAGAGAACATGACGCTGCGCAAGAGCATGTTTGGCTCAGAGTGCACACTCAGTGACAAGGTGAGTGATAGGTCATACGCAGTGAATGGGTGTATGATAGGACTGTACACATGCATGGTCAATGAGAATGCTATGGTTGACTCTGAATGTACACTGAGTGATAAGGTGAATTGTAGTCCATTTTGCGATTGGCGTTAGGATAAGACGGTTGTAGAGGTGTGAATCACACAATTTATGTTGGCATTAAATAAGTAAGAGTCTGGATATTATCCAATCGTATCGACTTGTGTTGGTCTTAAATAAGACGACTATTCAGTGCCATCCAATCATATCAATTTATGTTGGCCTTAAATAAGAAGACTATTCAGTACCATCCAATCATATCAATTTATGTTCTTAAATACGAAGACTATACGATATCATCCAATCATATCAATTTATGTTGGGTTTATATAAAAAGACCATTCAGTATTTCCCAATCATATCAATTTATGTTGGCCTTGAATAAAGGCTATTCGATATCATCCAATCCTATCGATAGATGTTCAAATGCCGCTGGCAGTATATGGTCCGTGGTGGGTTTGCGGCTGCCAGACCAGCTGCATATATGAGTGAGAGTACCGTAGCGTCTCTGCGGCGTAGGGTTTATTTATCCCCTAAACCCTGGCATTGGGTCGATGGGGCTTGTTGTATTCAATCGAGACGTCAGTATCTTGAGACGCTCGTGCTTTTGTATGTATGCTCGACTTTTTGTGAACAATGTGCTGCCTGGTGCATGAACTGTGTTGCATATATAAAACATATATCAATGTGTATAGATTTTTATCAACATCGATATGTATTTTTGTACTTCTCTTTATGTCATTACATGCATTCCGCCACAGCTATTCAATTGGTCCTGCCACCTCAGTTTGTGAAGAAAGTGCTGAGCATGGATGTCGCCGAAGGGATTTTGTTGTACATAGACATCGACATGTGTACAAATGTAGTATATATATATATATATATTATATATATATGTGTGTGTGTAATTAGATACATTTCACCAAAACTAATGCTTGGTCCTACCATCACAGTTTGTGAAGAATGTGCTGAGCACGGGTGTGGTGGAGAAGATTCTGTCGTGGGCTAAGTTCAAGCAAGAGTCTGCCATGGCCAAATCCTGCTCCGGTGCCAAGGTATCTAATTCAATCCCTCCATCACAATAAGGTAATACAGGGATATGAGAATCGCTTACTCCCTGATTTGTATATCGTAGACCCGCTGGTAATGATTTTATATTGACATGTGAAGCTTAGATAGATATGCGAGTGAACTCCTGTAGAGACTAGTATGAGGTGTGCCGCAGAGTACCTCCAATGATTGTGAAGCTGTAGGTGGTCGCGTGCGTTTAGGCGTGGTATGATCTTATTGATAAATCATACTGACACTATATGGCTTATTTGAATTATATGGCTTATAATAATTATATGGCTGATATGAATTATATGGCTGATATGAATTATATGCCTGATATGAATTATATGGCTTATATGGCTTATGTCTTGTATGAATTGTGCGCTCGTGAAGGGATGTAGGGCATCTGTAGTGGTGTCGCCCATTGAGCACAGCCAATGGCAGTGATTCATTTCTCTGTATGCTGGCAGTTTGCTGTAGCTTTTAATGGATATGAGAGAGATAAGAGTTGTCTACGTCTTGTGTACGGCCTATCGGAGTGATTCGTTTCTCTGTACGCTGTCAGTTTACTGTATCTTTTGATGGATATGTGTGAGATAAAAGCTGTCTACGTCTTGTGTACGGCCAATCCCCGCTCTATAAACCGTTTTTTTTATTCTCTGAGCTGTGACTTTGTAACCTCTGCTTCGTGTAGTTGCGAACATCACTGTCCTCCCCACTGTTCTCGCACGTTCGATTGGTTCAAAACCAACGCCTCAAACCCATTGGTTCAAAACTAAAGCCTCCAGCCCCTAATAAATATTTAAACTTTAGAGATCGCGTCTGACGGGCGTGCCCAAACTGGATGATGCCAACATGGCTGGTACTCGCCAGAGCGCAAAGGCGACCCTCATTCTGACTGAGGGTGACTCAGCCAAAGCACTGGCCGTGAGGTAAGGGGTGTATATATACATACATTTTTTTTTAAACGCACACACACAAACACACATAATATATGTATATATTATATGTATGTGTGTGTCTGTTTATGTGTTCGTGTGTATGTATGTATATATGATTTGTTTAGTGTATTTAGATCGATTTTCTGTCTGTGCGGTTAATTTACTTGGAGGGAGAGAAACGTAAGTTTTTCTTCCTATCGGTGAGGTGTGTTGTTGCAAATGTGTATAATAAAAATTTGTGTTTGTCGATGTGAAATCGTTTAGATACATGCATCTCGTGATCACAGTATCGTACCAACATATTATACCTACTGTACCACCTAAAACCCTTAATTTAGGATTTAGGGTTACTAAAACCCTAAACCCTTATTTGCAAATGTTCTACTGAAAAATTTACCATCCGCGTTTAAAATTTCTTATCTTTGTTTAAGTTCTGTCGGATACTTGTACCCAATCTTTTCGTACGGATGATATCGCAAACTCTTCAAACCTCAACCACATAATAGAGTTCTGATCTCTCAAACAGCTCATAAATAACACATATTTTATGTGTAATATGCATATCTTCGTTGAACAGTATCATGACCTTATCACGCATAACATATATTATATATATATAATATGTATATATATATTATATATATGTGTGTGTGTGTGTACCCGTATACGTACGTTTTCGATGTATATGTACGTAAATACATGATACCAATTGATCCCTTCTACGACGTTTTGTACTGCACACAGTGGCCTGAGTGTAGTGGGAAGAGACTACTATGGCGTGTTCCCCCTGCGAGGAAAACTACTGAATGTGCGCGAAGCCTCCATGAAACAGATCATGGATAACGCCGAAGTGCAGAGGTATCTCTCTCGTTCTTATCCGCCTGTTAGTCTGTTTGTCTTGCCATCTGGGTGACCAATTCATATGCCAAGTTGTGGGTGGTTGGTATGATCAGGCAATTCCATACGGTTGTCTGTTGTATTTTCTCGATATGACGTATATAGAAGCTAGTCGGTTGTTTTTGTATATTCTCGATGTAACGTATATAAGAGCTGATCGCGTAAGTGTGTACAGATGATGTCAGGCACCACCCAGCTCGCCATCTCTTAGGTTAAAAACACTTTTCTCCTTCGGTTCGATTCGCCACTTCAACTACATGTGGAAATGCAAGTATATATCTAGTACAGTATCAAATATATAACATACGTATATATAGTATTATTTAGTTTGTCCATGCCTAGTCTGATCCTCCTGGTGTAATTGGGCTCCCACTCTTGCCCGTATCACTTCTACTATCTGCGTGAACCACATCATCATTGTTCTCAGCTCTAATCTCCGGACATGCCAGCTGTGGGAGGGGGAGATTGAGCGCGTGGTTGTTGGGTTTTTGTGGTTGCAACTGTATGTTGTTGTCTGTTCTCCTATTCTGTATAGAGCCACAACCACACACTCATCCTCGCTCTTACCTCTCGTGCACTGTATGTTGTTGTCTGTTCTCCTATTCTGTATAGAGCCATAAGCACACACTCATCCTCGCTCTTACCTCTCGTGCACTGTATGTTGTTGTCTGTTCTTCTATTCTGTATAGAGCCATAACCACACACTCATCCTCGCTCTTACCTCTCGTGCACTGTATGCTGTTGTCTGTTCTCCTATTCTGTATAGAGCCATAACCACACACTCATCCTCGCTCTTACCTCTCGTGCACTGTATGTTGTTGTCTGCTCTTCTATTCTATATAGAGCCATAACCACACACTCATCCTCGCTCTTATCTCTCGTGCCGGCACCCAGTATCGTGAACATCATGGGGCTCAAATACGGCCAAAAGTACGAGAGTACGGCTTCTCTGCGATATGGATCGCTGATGATCATGACCGATCAGGACCACGATGGATCGCACATCAAGGGATTACTCATAAACTTTGTCCACCATTTCTGGCCGTCGCTGCTGAAGGTGCGGCAGTGACTGTGTGTGTGTGTATATAGAACGTGAACATATCCGTATGTGTTGATGTATGCTTGTGTGTGTGGTGCAGGGACATAGCTATGTGAAAGTGTTATATAATCATCCGTGTGTGTGGATGTATGCTCTAAACCCCTATTATACCTCTTAAGCCCCATCCGGACTTACACTACTCGTGTATGTTCTCCTGTTCACAGGTTCCGGGATTTCTGGTTGAGTTTATAACGCCCATTGTGAAGGTGACTAAGGGTGTCAAGACTGAGTCCTTCTACACCATGCCAGAATACACTGCCTGGAAGGAAGCCACTGGAGATTCCGGCAAAGGTGTGCACGACATATGAGTGTAGAGATATATCTATGTAGTAGACTATGCAATTGTGCATGGTTTTGATGTGTGCAAATGACATGCATATACCCTTATACATACACATGCATGCATGCGTATACTTATATGTTATCTATAACACGTGTATATTCTATTATTTATGTTGTTTCTACAGCTTATATGTTATCTATAACACATGTATATTCTATTATTTATGTTGTTTCTACAGCCGGTATGTTATCTATAACCCTTATGTATTCTATAATTTATGTTGTTTCTACGGCTGATATGTTAACAATAACCCATATGTATTCTATAATTTATGTTGTTTCTACAGCTGATATGTTATCTATAACACTTGTATATTCTATAATTTATGTTGTTTCTACGGCTGATATGTTAACAATAACCCATATGTATTCTATAATTTATGTTGTTTCTACAGCTGATATGTTATCTATAACACTTGTATATTCTATAATTTATGTTGTTTCTACAGCTTATGTTATCTATAACACTTGTATATTCTATATTTTATGTTGTTCCTACAGCTGATATGTTATCTATAACACTTGTATATTCTATAATATATGTGTTTTCTATACCTCGTCTGCATTCTATAGCTTGTGTGTCAGCTACATCTGCTTTTAGAGTATGCACACATTAAATTAAACATCTCAAACCTCCTCTCCAACGCACCCCCATCTAAGTCATCTGTATAGCCATCGGCGGCGAAATATCGCTCCGTTCTCAGCCACTCCGAAATAGTACTCGGAACTACCGCCAACGTATTTGTTTAGGGTTTAAGGTTTCAACCCCCATTGCTACCCCGAAATAATCGTATGTACACCGCACTAACACTCTAATGTGTCGGTGGATCCTCTTGTGGGATAGGTTGGAAGATCAAGTACTATAAGGGTTTAGGTACGAGCACTCCGGCCGAGGCCAAGCAGTACTTTGCGGATATGGAACGGCACAACATTGCCTTCGAATGGCTCGACAACCTGGATGACCAGAAGGTGTGTGAAACTGCATCAGATGAATGATATGGGCAGATGGGTTTAGGGTTTTAGGGTCAAACTGGAGTTGTATAAATGGGATGAGAAGAGCTTGGCGCCATGTGTGCAGAAATTATTATAGTAAGGTTATTAGGATTTTAGGGTTTAATGTAGAAGAGGTGACAAGGGACTGCCAGCTTGTATGTGAAAGCATCTCAACAAAAATGTCTTGCCTGTTATGTGTATTAGACGCTACATCGTTTCGTACTCGATTACACTACTAAAGCATTGGGAAAGCGGGGAATCTGCGTGCTATTCTGATCCATGCACATGTACAACCCCACGATCTTCAAACGAACAGCGTGCCTGTGAGCAGATGTGGATCATGCACTCGCGAATTGCGCCTCACTATACAAACACGACGAACCACACATTAATATGAACTATACATCACACTCCATACGTGTGGTATAGATTCAACTGACATTCTCCATCTCCAACGAACAAACATTAATATGAACTATACATAGCACTCCATACGTGTGGTATAGATTTAACTGGCGTTCTCCAACAAACAAACGTTAATATCAGTTATACATCGCACTCCATACTTGTCAGATAGACTCAACTGACATTCTTCAACAAACAAGCATTACTATCAATTTTACATAACACTCCATACTTGTGCTTCAGATTCAACTGGCATTCTCGAAGAAACAAACGGACGATCGCAAAGATTGGCTCATGCGCCATCGCCCGGGCACATTCATTGACCAGACTCAGGAAACAATCCGATACGCCGACTTCATCGATAAGGAATTGATCTTGTTCTCTATGGGTAGGTTATCAAAACCTCTATTCATGCTGTGTGTTTGTAATGTAGGTTCATATCACCTCTATCCATGCTGTGTGTATGTATTGTAGAAAGAATCTTATTATGTTCATATCTCCTCTATTTGGGCTCTTATGTATGTGTTGAAGCGATTACTTTTGTTCTACATGAGTATGTTTGTATAGTCTTCATTTTTGCTCTTCACATGAGTATGTCAATATGCTTTATAGGTGGTTTTAGGGTTATCATCTAAATTTGGGCTCGTATGTATCGGAGGGTTTGATCGTGTTCTCCATGTGGATGTTACAATCCCCCATTTACGCCATTTACGCTCGGAGTGTGTATTCGACCAGCAGACCGTCTGTTCCTAACGAGTTGTTCGGTTACACAGGTGTTCGCGAGTATGTAGAAGTGGCTAGGCTATTGGCAGCTACTGGCACATACACATAAAACAATAACACATTCTTACACCAACGACAGTCCCCTATTAACCCCTGAACCCTAAACCCGCCCTACTACCCCTCAGCTGACAATGCGCGGTCTATCCCGAGTGTGGTCGACGGCTTAAAGCCTGGGCAGCGCAAGATCATGTTCAGTTGCTTCAAGCGCAAACTCAAAGAGGAGATCAAAGTGGCGCAACTGGCGGGCTATGTGTCTGAACACTCGGCCTACCACCACGGCGAGATGAGTCTCACGTCCACCATCATCAACCTGGCGCAGGTGTGTCTCTCTTGTGTGTGTGTGTGCAAGCGTGCGGTTGTGTTTTGAGTGGGCTGTGTCTGGTATTGCATGGTGGAATGGCCGTCAGTCTACCTTGTCGTATGTCTAAGTGGTCAGTTACGAGTGTGTGCTGAGCCGTCGTCATATCCAACCACTCGGCCGATCACCACGGGACAATGAGCCGCACCTTCACCATCCCACATCCATAAACCCCTAAACGTATCTATTCTTATTAATTCTTATCTTTCTTATTAATCCTTACTTGTTCTTATTAATTCTTTTCTATTCTTACTAATTCTTATGGATTCTTATCTTTCTTGTATATTCTTATTGATTCTTATCTATTCCTATTAATTCTTATCTATTCTTATCCACTACTCCGTTGCCAAGGACTTTGTGGGCAGCAACAACATGGGATTGCTTGTGCCTGCAGGACAATTCGGTACACGGTTGCAGGGAGGCAAAGACGCGGCATCGCCACGTTATGTGTTCACCAAACTCAGTCCTCTGGCCAGAAAGGTCTTCCATGTGCAGGTCAGTGGGTTGCAGTTGTTCGTGTACATGCCAGTTGAATGGGTCGTGTTGACCTTGTAGCGTCATGTGATGTGATGTATTAGATGTGCATTGTCACTACACCGTGTGGTGTACACAGCAGATGTCGAACGATATTCCGTTAACCATTCCTCGTGCACGGCAGCTCTACCAAGTCAAGTCAGGTACAGGCTAAAACCCTAAACCCTAAATCCCATAAATGAGACTGGCGCGTCGAGCCAATTCGCTGACTTGTGCGACATGGGCAGTGGACCGCTGTGAATTGTCGTATTAGAATTATTTTCTGAAATTGAATACTATCTACTGCTGGCCGATCAGTTTCACGGCAGCTGTTAACCAATCGGACATGTAGGTATATTGGTAGTACATGTTTATTCGCATACACATATACTACATAAACCTTAGTACACATATACTACAAAATCCTTAATACACATTTACTACATAAACCTTGATACACATATACTACATAAACCTTAATACACATATACTACATAAACCTTAGTACACATATACTACATAAACCTTAATACACATACTACATAATACACATATATCTTAATACACAGAAACTACATAAGTCTTGCTACTAAACACATGCGTGCGCTTGAATCCCCTCAGGACGATGCGCTGATGAAGTACCTGGATGACGATGGACTGACGATTGAGCCTGAGTTCTATGTGCCTGTGATTCCAATGGTCTTAGTCAATGGCAGTGACGGCATTGGCACGGGTTGGAGTACAAGGTATACCATATATAGCCATAGAACACGTATGCTTGTTCTATTGTTAGCATTCCCAATCTCAATCCACGAGACATCATCGCCAACATCCTTCAATTGTCATTCGCCATGATTTCATACCCTGCTACGCCTTATTCTATTTTTAGCATCCCCAATCACAATCCACGAGACATCATCGCCAACATCCGGCGCATGTTGGATGGTGTAGAGCCGACGCAAATGGACCCGTGGTGGCAGGGCTTTGTGGGAGACGTACTGCCGCAAGACCCCAAAAACACCAAGTTCTCAGTACACGGCAAAATCGAGAAGGTAACCGAATATGTGTACATCAGGGCTGTTTTTAGTTTCGTACGCCGGTATATAGGACAATATATATATATATGTGTGTGTGTGTATTGATGACTTGATGGCTTGTACTGTGAACGCAAGAGGGCAAGTTAGATGGACACTGCTCGTCAGGGCATTGTGCAGTTGTGTGGGCCTGTGTCCAGTGTTAAGTTCGTGACGGTAATGCGTGGCGGTTCGTATTGTGGACTACAATAGTATGTTAACATGTTATCGTGTTTACTCTCATAGTGATAGTTTGGTTTGTTGGTGGATTGTAATCTCATTGACTACAATAATAGTATTTTAACATGTCAATGTGTTTACCCTCATAGTGATAGTTTGGTTTGTTGGTGGGTTGTAGTCTCACTGTTCATCGTGTTGATTTGGGAGAACCCACTCGCGTAAGCTTCACGGTGTCGCTCTACTGCACACATTTGTGTTCTAATTGGCACATCCCCGCGCCTTTCAAATGGTTTATAATGCCGCTGTTTTGGTTTATATTGCCGTTGTTTTGGTTTATAATGCCGTTGCTTTGGTTTATATTGCCGTTGTTTTGGTTTATGTGCTCACCCACACCCACTTGCGCATGCCTCTGCTTCCCGCGTGTCTGTAGACGAGTGAGACAACCGTAGAGATCACCGAGCTGCCCGTGCGCACATGGACACAGCCGTATAAGGAATGGCTGGAGACCTGTGTGCAGGGCACCGACAAGAACCCGGCCTTTGTGCGGGACTACACGGAATACCACACAGACTCCACCGTGCACTTTGTGGTGACCATGGATGCGCAAGTGCTGGCGGCGGCTGAGAAGGACACGGGAGGGCTGCTGAAGAAGTTTAAGCTGCTGTCCACTGTGGGAACCTCCAACATGGTGCTGTTTGACGAGCGCGGCGGGATTAAGAAGTACGCCACGCCGCTGGAGGTGAGTCACTCGCTGCCTGTGTGTGTGGCGGTTGTACCCCGATACCTCCCTATCCCCACCTATCCACTATCCCTATCCACTATCCCTACCCACTATCTACGCCACAGATCCTGAAAGACTTCTACGACCTTCGGCTGAACTACTACCACAAGCGAAAGGCCTACCTAGCAGACATGTTGACTGACGACTTCGACAAACTGGACAACAAAGTGCGGTTTATTCGTGCGGTGATCTCTGGCGATGTGAAGGTCAACAACGTGCGCAAGAAAGACATCCTGGCCGATCTCATGGACAAGGGCTACAAGCAATTCTCCAAGAAGGTCAGTGCATGCCATTTCACACGTAAAATAGCACTACTCTCTCACACGTGGGAAGCAACGGCAGTACTATCTGACACGTGATAACACACCCGTGCGTATATGTAAGTGTATGAACTCACACTTGATAGCACACCCGTGCGTGTATGGGTACATATGAGTAGATCCGGCTGATATTTATGCCGTTAAAGTGTGCTTAATGCTTTGTAGACTGGGCTGAATATATATATTATGTATGTATGTATGTATGTATGTATGTATATATATAGTCAATAAATGTAGATATAGCCCATAAATGTAAATATATAGTCCATAAATGTAGATATAGTCAATAAATGTAAGTACTTCACAAGCGCACTCCATTCTATCACACTAACAACTCTTGTCTCTGTTCTCGGGCTCTGCTTCCAAAGACAAGAGTCGCACAATCCATACGTTTCAAAAAATTCTCTATCTCTCTCACTTACTCGCTCGCTCGCATAATCAAACAACACAATCCTGTGTATAGTTGTGGTGAAGTATATACAACACCGTAAGCTAATGCGGAATGGTAATTGTCCGCATGCTCACATACTCTCCCTCTACTCACACTCTCACCCTCCACGCGACGGCAGACCAAAGACTCCGAACCCAGCGAAGACTCAGTCGAGACAGAGGATGGCCCAGACACCAGCGCCGCAAGTGACGGCTACGATTACTTGCTGGGCATGGCGCTATGGTCTCTGACGCAGGAGAAGATCAATGCGCTGGAGAAGGAGCGTGAGGCTAAGGAGACTGAACTGGGTATACTGCTGAGCAAGAACGCGCGGGATCTGTGGGTAGAGGACCTGGGTGCACTTGAGGAGGAGATGGACAGGTACGCTGAGGTGGTCAAGGCACAGGCCGAGAAGGACGCCGGACAGGTCACCAAGCTCAAGAAGCAGCCCAAGAAACGCGCGCCCAAGAAGAAGACGGTGGGTGGCGGTGGTTATTGGAGTGGTGGTTTATGGTGTGGATGTGGCGGTGGTTATTAGAGTGGTGGTTCATGGGGCGGTGTGGATGTGGCGGTGGTTTATGGGATGGAGAGTTGATTTTTCTTACAGTTGGAAGAGACCTCTCTGAGTGCAGAGTGGTACCTTTCTGCATGCATGTGTTGTAGAAGGCCCCATACGCACCTCATCGCCCATGTTTTGTTCATGCTGGTAGTGGGAGAGTGGGTCTGTCGTATGACCATGCTACGCTCAACCACAGTCACAGTGCAGCCCTTCTGTCTGTGTGCTTCATTTGCCCCTGATCACATGCTACAGCCACAGTGCAGCCCTTCTGAATTGTAGCTGATGTGCATGTGGCCTTCTTTGTACCAGATCACACCCAAAGAAGAAGACGACTGGCAACCGAGCAAACCCGCCGCCAGGAAAATGGCTGTCCCAAAGGTGTGACGGCTATCTCGTATGCGTCAAATTTGTGTACAAGTGTACTTGTAGGGTATTAGGGTTTTGCGTCCAATATGTGTACAAGTATACTTATATGATACGTATGAAGGTATTTGAACTCAGATATCTCACATATGCAATCAAGGTGTCTGAATGTAAGTATAAGGCTTTTATGATAACTTAGATATCTCGTATATGTAATCAAGGTGTCTGAATGTAAGTACAAGGCTTATATTATAACTTAGATATCTCGTATATGCAATCAAGGTGTCTGAATGTAAGTACACGGGTTATATGATAACTTAGATATCTCGTATATGTAATCAAGGTGTCTGAATGCAAGTACAAGGCTTATATTATAACTTAGATATCTCACATATGCAATCAAGGTGTCTGAATGTAAGTACAAGGCTTATATTATAAATTAGATATCTCGTATATGCAATCAAGGTATTTGAATGTAAGTACAAGGTTTGTTTGATATATTTGCATGTATGTACAATTGCATGTGCGAAAGTATGCGTCTCTCAAGTAAATATCCTCGCAACAGAAGTGTGAGCTTGCCCGTATTATGTGTATGCTGCCAGCACATCATCGCTGAGTTGACCGGGGCCTTTTGGTCTTCTCCCGCAGCCTTTTGGGACGGAAAAAAAATACCAAGTAGTGCTCGTTGTTTACACATACGCCAAAATATTTTAAATCACCTTCCCCTTTTTTTCCCCACACACGCATACACCACCACCCCCTCTTACTAAACACAGAAAGTCATAAAATCAGAACAAACCAAAGCCACTTTAGAGGATGACCAGCCCCAGGCATCGGTAAGTGGCGCCAACCGGCTGGTGGGCTGCCATCGCTTGCCTGCACATCCGTGCTTACCTTTCCCTTTTGACCCGTTTTCGTTATTGAGTTTCGGTCCGTCAGCAACTCCAATCGATTTTTCGAGGTGTCTCATTTTATGTTCCGTTAACTTGCGGCTCACCTTATGTGTACCAAGACTATTGCGAGAAAAAAAAAGAGAATGAGGGCATAACACACCACGCACTATGCATGACCACGCCTGCCCTCCCTTGCTCTGATATATGTATTCTTTCCTTCCCTTCTCCGTCCATCAATCCCATTTGCTCTCTATTCCTTCTCCTATTGCAATCTCTATCCCTTATCCTCGCCCATCCGATTGCAGGCGATTAAGCCCAAACGCCCCACGGCCAGGAAGACCAAACCAAGGTCCACCATTGTACCCGACAGCAACAGCGACTCAGACAGCGACGGTGGGGTCATGCTCAGCTTATCACAGCGCCTGGCCATGACCAAAGCCCCAAAGAAAGAGCCTGCACCCAGGCAACGGCAGAACAAGACGCCCGTCACGAAGGTGCGGGCGAGTGCAGTGAGTGCGGGGTGTTGACTGTGTGAGGCTGACTGTGTTGAGTGTGGCATGGCTGGATGTCTGTGTCTTTGTGCCTATGTGTGAGTGTGACATATACACACACATGCGTGTGCACAACCCAAAATCCGATACCTCGGTACAACGGACTGACTCGCCATATCTACTCACAAGTGCCCTGATGATCAACTGCCAACAAAGGCACTGCGCACATACGCAATTGGGGATGTGCTGTGTGATCATGTGTGGTGTATGTATTCCACGTCCTTGTTTGTTGTAGCACTAAGTATTTCCTTGCTTGTTGTAGCACTAGGTGTTTCCTTGTTTGTTGTAGCACTAGGTGTTTGCTTGTATGCGATAGCCAGCGTGCCTGTGGCTGTCAGTGGGACTTCACATCTGTGAACAGACGCGTACCTACAACGCAGGTATATACGCACCGTATAGCGAGCCCCGTGACTCTCCTGTGCAGCCTCGGGGAATCTACCTAAAACCCTAAACTCTACACCGCTAATAAGAGTTAAAATGGTAATTCAAAGATTATATTATCTACTGCATGGCTTGTGCTCTGCGATGTGCTGCGGCTGTGCGGTGTTCTAGCCACTCGTACAGAGCGTAAACGTTGCCGTATCTCCTGTGTAGTAGAGAGACACGAGTCAGTTTTAATAGCCTCGTCACATGCACGGTACTGTAGTTTGTTACCCATCGTCTCAGTGTTGGCTGTTGGTACTGACATCCCGCGTGTGCCAGGTAGACGTGTGTGCCTGTACCTGTGTCCTACGGTTGTATGGCCTTGCTAACCCATAGTCACTGCTCCGGCCCAAGAGTTTATACCAGGGCAAGCCAGCCAGCCAGCCAGCCCGTGATCAAATTCACCAGAAAGCGACGGCGCCTCGAACAGGTCCTTTAGCCTACCAAGACTACTCGTATTGGTTGATTGGCACCACTGTGACAACTCAGTATACCTACACACACCACTCACTCCACCCACTTCAACCACTGGAATGTGATGTAGTTAATGTATGAGAGGCTTCTACTCAACACACTACACGATTCCACTTTATGATGACCACGGCGATGCGCTTTCGTGCCCTCGTGTGTCCACCGGAATTGGTTTGGCGCACTCCTTACCCGTATCTCCAGTACCATAGTTAGTACCACAGTTTCCCTTTCTATCCTGTGCCAGGGTTGTACTTTAATGTTCCTTAGTTGCAGTTGCTGATCATTTCTAGTTACTCTATCGTACCGTTTCAAGCGGTTGCAAGTAGTACGGATGCTTCCCGTCGTCTCCCACGGTATCGTATTTACGGATCACGCAAGGGCCACGGCAATTCCATTCCTAAAGAATAGCCTGCCTTCAGTATGACACTCGCAGCATATACACCCCCCTACAACATAGCCGCCATTGTTTAATCATACACCCATACTTCCTAACCCCAACACATGCACCTCCCTACTGCATAGCCGCCATTGTTTTATCTTACACCCATACTTCATAACCCCAACACAACACCATGTATCAAGTCTGGTTGGCCCAATACTGTTAGTGCAGCCACACTCTACCGTGCATGCTAGTACGGATAATCCCCCAACCAGTCGCTCATATCTGATGATACCTCGGCGTGTGTTGCTATGTAATGTTGTACAGAAATACCAAACTGTCATCAGCGACGAAGATTTAGACCTGGACGAAGACGAACACGGCGTCACTGATCTGGCAGACTCTGTGAAACGCTTGTCGGTTGGCAAACCTGGAAAACGGTACGTGGTGTAGGGTTTTAAGGTTCTAGGGTTTAGGGTATAAACCCTAAAGCCTCTGTAGACACTCCACGTTCATACTCAGCGCAGCAGACTATGTACCGTGTGCACAGGTCCTTTAGATAGAGTGCATTCATAGAGCTGTCAATGTGTGCCTCTATCTGTTGCCGTCTTCATTGCATCGACCGGTCCTGTGTTGTTGATTATTACGGCTAGCTGTGATGGGACGATCCATGCCACCTGCACTGTGTTTGTGCTCAAACAAGGACCACCAAGCCTAACCCGGGCGAGTCTAGTGACGGTTGATTCTTCTCACATATTGTATTCGCCCTGTTGACCAACGTGCATAGCAGTCTCTATATAAGTGCGCTCTGTTTCTGTGAATGGGTTGGTGAGTCCCTGTGTAGGGGTATCAGATCTTTGATAACATCAAGCGATGCGAATGGCACCTACGCTACGGTGCTGCATATCTGTGTCGCGCTTTGCTGTACTACACTTGCAATTCATATGTAATTGCAAGTGTTGGTCCTTGTAACCTCGTACCGCCTTCAGCTAAACATACACGATGGTTTGGGGACCGCAGAACTCGTTACACCATGCTCGAAAGCTACTTCTGTGTACACAATACTAACACGCACAGCCGTGAGTGTGAACACACTCAACAGACCCCTGCAATACTGATACTATGTGCGCCGTCAACCATATACACTCATAGTCCCACCCCTCCAAAACGCAACTGAAACTCAACCCGTTCTACACAACCATACAACCCTAAACCTTAAAACGCAACCCGTTCTCTACAGACCGTCGGAACGCGATGTGCCGCGCACGGTGGAGAAGAAGAAGACGGTGCGCACGTACAGCGAGGATTCGGATGAGGTACGTCCACATAGCCCCAACATGTTGCAAATTGTAGCGGACACGAACAGATGACTGGGACATGCATGTGTATGATTAGTAAGCGACGCGTCGAGTGGTGGTAACAATCATTTCTCACGTGTCGCAAATTGCATGCACTGCACGCTATATCCGTTTGTCGCCACAATAAACGTTGCTGGTGACTTCTGTCGATACCGTACAACACAGTACAATTGGGATCACACAGACTACCAGCGTATTAGCACATCTTCCATCTGTATGAACTCGATCCGTCTTCCCACTCATCATCCGCCGCCTTGTACATATCCTCAGAACTATACCTAAACCTCTAAACCCTCGAAACTCAAAACCCTTGTGCATATCCACAGAACTCGGAGGCTGAGTGTGATACAATCCCTAAATCAAAAGCCAAAGCCAAGGCACCTGCCAAGCCACGTGCAAAGGCTGCACCCAAAGCCAAGGCTAAGGCTAAAACAGCCGCTGCCAAGGCCGCTGTGGCCACAGTCCCGGCACTAAGCGACAGCGATGACAACTTAGGTAGGAGTGACAAGTACTTGCATGCATCTGTATTTCGAGTATTTATATATACGTAGATCTGTAATTGCGAGTATATATATATATATACATAAATATGTATTTTTGTATTGTGAGTATTTTTATATACATAGATATGTATCTTTAGGCTGAGAGATGGGTTGAGAAATGCTGAACATGTTTTGGATTAAAACTAAGCAGAGGTTGGTGAACGTGATCTTCATACCACTTGGTGTACGTGGTTGGTGGTGTATATGATTAAGGTACCTGGTTGTGCGAGCAGCATGCCCGCAAGTTTGGCTGCACATGTGTATATGTACTATTCTGAGTCAAGGACGGTGTTGTGCATGTATTTGTACTTTACTGAGCCAGATGTGATGTACTATTCTTAGCCAGCTATGGTGCGCTCGAGACCAACGATTGTTCTATGTCTTATTTTCACATCACAGATTTCGAAATACCCGTTAAACGCGCTCCGACATCTCGCCGGGCTGCTGCCAAAGTGAAGTATAATTACGAGGTAGGTGTTAAGACCACTGCGGGTACGTAGACGGATCCATTATTGTTACGCCGATGGGTATTGTTTAACGTTTTGTACTTATGGTTTGTCTTGGCCACATGCCCCCTGCCAGCTTGGAACCAATTCCACAGTTCATGGTTACGATGCAGACCACTTTTTGTGGAAGCGATTGTTAGTACGCGTTCAAAGCGTGTAGTCTTCCTATGGCATACAAGACATCTTAAATGATGACGGATGTTAACTTACAACCACTTACATGCAGCTAGCAGCCCCTCACAACACGCACATTGCGTGTGTATATCTGTGAAGGGTCTCTACTGTGTCTGCTGTGTATCATCGCTTCGGACTGAATCTTTTTGTTGGTTTGTTTTTTGTCTCTAATTTTTTATATGTTGTGGTGTACCTGGCATATGTCTCTTGCAGTTTAATGCGCGACGAATACGTATACCTAGCAAGAGCAGGCATTTGCTTATGTGTTTGTAATGTGAGAGTACAAGCACATTTGCGGCAGAGTACGACGTAGCGAAGGAGAATCGCGAACGTGACACCCTCCCTGTGACAGTCATGCTTTGCCGAACCCTATTCCCGGTTGCATTAGTCACCACCACCGTTATTTACAGAAGCTGTGTTGTGTGTCGTGTTGTGTGTCCTGTGGGTCCCTGCAGCAACACACTCTCATCTCCTCACCCACACTCCCCATGCACAGAGCGACCCTTCGTCAGAGGGCGATGACTCGGATGGCTCCGAGTTCGAGTTATAGTGCGCTTTGTTAAGCCACCAAGCCATTGTATAGAGTCCGGGAGATGAGGAGCCCTACAAGCAACCGCTGGTGTTGGCTTGACGTGCGTGCGTGCAGTATGGATCTACGCCATAATGTGGGCGCTTGGACACACCAGCCTCGTCCTCTGTTCCATATTTTGTATCGCGGATGGCGTTCAATAGCGTCTCACGGCACTGACAAGATCGACTTAATGCGGACGAGGTCTTTAACCCTACAATCTGTCACTAAAACAGAGAACGCCCACATAGAGCAGCGGATGTTCGAGGACCCGGGCTCAGCTGAAAATAAAAGTGCCAGCTCGATACGTAAATCATAGCTAGGCCAACTCAAGCCTGTGGTGCAATCACGTATCAGCTCTATAAATTATAAATTGCTGCATAGGCCTTCAATATATTGAAAAAGACGGTTCATAATGGAAAACAGCAACAGCTCCAATACAGGCTATTCTGACAAGTAGCCATCGTAAACAATAAACAGAAAGCGCCAAAAATAGAGTTGGGAGTATGGATAATTGCTTCATCCAAATCATGCGGGTGTTTCGTGCGGTATAGGTGCGTAAAGCTCTCACTTGCTATAGCCTTGCAAACGTTTAAGGATGTACAACTTGTGTGGACCATATTAAAGTACTGTTCGCATATTAAAAAACTGCTCTCGTGTGGTCCTAATCAAAAGTACGGTTAAGGGGGTAATGTGTGACGTTCAATGCGACATGTGCGTCGTTATACATATGCTACTTCATGTTTAATATGGAAGTGAAATGAATAGACTCGATTATGTCTTTATGTTCAATCTTGTTGTTTATGTATCATATATTGATGAGACTTCTTTTAAATATGGTTAAATCTGTAGGTATTTCGAGAATACAATTCAAGAGACATTTTGAGTAGGCCATACTATAGAACTATTATTCGAAAATAATGGATCACACCTTGAGACCAACACCGCCTTTTTGGACATGACATGATTCAAGATAACCGAGAAATCGCATAGGTAGAGTAGATTTAGGCGGTTCCAACTGAATGTTTGTTTCAGGCGAATAAAATCCAAAAAAAAGGGGGGGGGGGCTCTTTCCGCTTTTCTCTTATTTTATAGTTGGGACTAGACTTGACAACTTTGTTCCCATATTCAGGTAAAATAAGTAACGCGCCAAAACAGGCTCCCCCTCTTCAAGGTTATAACGACGGCACTGCTTTAAACAGTGAATTTTGAACTATTCAAATGCACCCGTATGTCCACTGAGTCTGTTTCCGGGGTGGGAAAACCCTAACTCTAAACCCTAAACCCTAAAAATGCGGGGTACGAAGTGAAAAGAGCTCAGCCCAAAAAAAAAAGGGGGGGGGTGGATTCGCCTGCAACAAATCCCCACTTGGAACCGCCTGTTATTAACACTATTACCCGTTGGGTATTCTGTTCAATACGAGAGACACATCTTGAGCAGGCAGGGTGTTTTAAACTCAGAGGTATTCATTTTTATTTAGATCATGCCTCGAGCACTGCTCACATTTTAGAGACCTTGATATGACAAGATATATCTGGTATATCATCTATGTAGAGTAGACTTGCGTATATGTGGAGGTAAGCAGTGTTGTGATGATTGCAATACATCAGCCTGTGTGCCGTTACTATATGCGGATGGCTTCTAGTTGTGTTTCGTGCGCTTGGTCGTATTGACTTGATATGGATTCAAACATGAGGTGAACAAACAGGGGTTATAATAAGTACTGCAAGTAAGGGAGTTCAGGGCAATAACTTAGTAAACAAGCATACCAAAAGCGGCTGCTTACGAGGCAAGTCTTTACATACAAGACTCGCACTCAATTGATACACAAACCTTAGCATGGTTAACGCAAACCTTTGCAACTCGTAGTAATTATTATGTAAAACATGAGTTAATCAGAGCCCACAGGTAGCTTAATTGACACAAAGGATTTCACCTATCACGATTAATTTAATGTCGATGATAAAACAAAAATTTCCGCTCATTGCACCTACCCTTGGCTTGCTTTGTGGACCTCTTGCAACTCGTGGTGAGCTTACTCGCTTATTTGGTACATCTCATGTGACAATATTATATGAAACCGGTCAAACTGTCAGTATCAGTGCCGCCATGTTAAGTGAGTAAGTTACCTCAGGCTCAGAAAAAAATAGTACTTCAAACACGCTGGCAACAAATACAGATATTTGGGGTGAACTCAAAACGCCATAAAAAAAAATATATATATTCTGGACGGGCGTGCTGCTTCCCTTTATGATCGCGCCCTCATTTATGAGGGATGGGTCTCCGCAGTTGTTAGGTTTTAATACCTCTTACTTCCTGCTAGGTTCACGCACCTCCTCAATTCAGTGCTGTTCATATCGTATTCAACACGACTAACTCCACAATACACGCCACTCTAGTAGTGGGTTGCATAAACTGCATAATCGCACCAACAATGTATTTGCCACGCATGTCGACCTCTCAATGCCAAGCTATTTGGATTCTTGCCCTCTCATTTGCCAAAAGCCCCTGAATTTATACAACATTTTCTGGGACTACTGAGTTCTCCAGTCTTGTTTCCGACGGCTCCCTGGATATCGCTACGACACCGATACAGTGTTCAGGTTTTTGATAAATTTTTTTTTGACCGACCTTGAGCTATAGTTTCTGATCGCGGGTATCCCGGTACAGCTGATCAACGCTCTATCTGCACATACATTCCATGGAAGATTTTTCGTCAGTACTTTTGCTGTAGAGACCACTCACAGTATCATCAGTGCTCAGTATAGCCCTATGTGCGGGAGATCGTCCTGACAGTTCTGGACAGCTTCTCCAATGTGGACCTCGCACCAGGAAGTGTATCAGCGACTACAAGTACAACAACATTCTATGTTACGAAATCTGGTGTCCTGGAATGACAGTGATACTCGTCTCATAGTTCCAGCCACTATACTCGCCCGACCCTTTCTACTGCACAGGTACAAAAGGGAGGAACAGACGATACTTCGTCCCATCTGTTTTCCTCACATCTTCACGTCCCTTCTGCAACTCCCTTTTTCATTCGTTCTCCTCACAAGGTTGAGTATAAACAGCTGTCGTTTCTGTTTGACATGAGTCAACGATCCAGACACTCAGCTCGCAGTGTCGCACATATACAAGGTGCTTCTAGTAGTTTAAAATGAAATGCACGTATTGAATATTCAAACGCCAAACATTCTTGAACACCGTGGCGGAAGTAGCCCATATCGCAATCTCACCGTTCCGCTAGAGTACGGTATTTTGATACAATAAAATTACACCACTTGATCGTATTATCAATTGTAAAATTAAATAAAACATTAAAACAACATTAAAATGCCTTTGTCATAGAGTGTGACATGGTTGCCAGAGAATTTGGACAACTTTGGTGGTATATTCCCGCTGATTTATTGCTGAACATAAATTCACAAGCTGCGTTGCACTCTATTGTTATCGTAAGCTGTAGAAGAAAATACACCAGGAAGGAATCACACTTGTGTGGGAAACCTTTAAACCGAATTGAATAAAGTAAGCTAGCCGGGTCTGTGATTCCACAAAAGTAAGCTAGCCGGGTCTGTGATTCCAAAGCTAGCCGGGTCTGTGACTCCAAAGCTAGCCGGGTCTGTGATTCCAAAGCTAGCCGGGTCTGTGATTCCAAAGCTAGCCGGGTCTGTGATTCCAAAGCTAGCCGGGTCTGTGATTCCACAAAAGTAAGCTAGCCGGGTCTGTGATTCCACAAAAGTAAGCTAGCCGGGTCTGTGATTCCACACTGGCGTATTGTCTCCTCTTTCTGTTTTTGAAAGATTCAGCTAGTAAGGTGATCTAGTGAATAACCGGCTAGTTTCTGGAGGTATGTTGAGCGTTCATAGTGTGGTACATTCTAAAGTATACTTTAGAACTAGTCAGCTTTGCTACTGGTATGCTCTAGGGATCACAGCACACAGAAATGCTCTCTTCGGTATGGTTTCTCGCATAATTGGAGTAAGAGAACCACCTGTTCACATAATATTTAGTTGGTATGATTGAGTGGGTGACGCAATGTCGTTTTGGCTACTCTCTACCCGGAGCAATAAAGGACCCACAGTTGTTGCTTCGTATTTTATTTGATAAAATCTGCTGGGCGAGTTTGAACTATTGTTCGCAAATTGGCGTGTGTTTCGCTCGAATCATTCGAGACGCCCTGGTCCAGGGCTACCGAAATAAGTGTACAATTGTACCACTTACTCTGGACCAAGGATCCTACAACGCAGCAGCAAAGAACATACGTCACAACAATATCTGCCCGTTTCTGGTGCAGAGCATTGTTGTTAACGTAGGTAGAGCTTCACTAATATTAGGACCCAGCGGCTATACGTAAAAGGATACATTCGAAACTATAGAAAAATCTACAGTTGTATTGTTGGGTATTCAATTCGGTATAAGTTCGACAACGATACCATCCTCTTACCGAGGCGCTAATGTAAACACCGGTGCCAAATTGCCTCAATCGGCATCAACCCTGCCATCGTGATACAGTGGCGTCAACCTAGTACATGTTACGCGAGAGAATTGCTATGCAGCAATATGATTGGTGTACAGTGATCTACCGAATGCCGTTACAGCGAAAGACATAGCGTTACAACAGCCTGGCAAACCTATATAAAAATATCACAAAATCTAATGCAGGCAACAGCATTTTTCATAGATATGAATATAGTTTTTAAAACGAATGAGCAGTACTATAATGATACCTCAAACCATTTTTACTCTCTCCACCTTCTCCAACTTCCCCGGTATTTACAACATCACACTCGCGCTGGTCTACTTGAAAACACCTAAGCAAAAGTACACACTACCCAAATTACATAGTTTTAAGGTTAAACCGAGGTTCAGGTCGTAGGGTTTATTACCCAAATAAATTTCCGGAGATGAAATCATGCAATATATGATATATTCTTGCACATATTTAGCGTGCACAAGTCTGCAAAAAACAAACAAACCAAAAAATGTCACCGTGCATTCTATATTTTTGTAAATTTCACATGCACAGTTTCCTATGTACATCAAAGTGTTCTACTACGAGTACACACACTCGCGTAAGCACATTCTGAAATCAGTTGCGCGTGTTTAATGTTTGAGCTAAGCGATATCGTGAAAAGTGAAAGGACCGCTTGCCATATGTGTACCAACTGAATGCTTCCCTTCAATTAAGCACCTTTGTACTACCCCTATACGTAGGATTTCCCACATGCTAAAGTATCACTGTTTCACCAAAAGTATCGCTACTTAAGTGGCTGTTTGACTGTGTGTCAGCACTAATAAGGACTAAACTGATACACCGTTGGGCGATAATTAGTCATTAAAATTTTAATTCTTGACGAGCGTATCCAAGAGTAGTTTATCGAATTCGTAATCTTTCAGAAGCATTTGCCGAACCATCACCACGTTCACCATAAGAGACAGCCCCAGCAACAAGAGCAGCAGCAGCACTACAGTGAGAGGCAACTTCTCCCGCTGTAGATATGCTTTTCCTTTTTTCACCTTCCTCGATAACCTGATAATCAATGCGGAATAAAGAATTTAGAAGTGAAACTTTGTGATATATACGGAAGTAGTACTAATGGAACCATGCACAAACCCACTACAACTGGTACTATATAGGCCTTTGACAGCACAGGATAAGGTCAAAACATTATAAGAAATAGCGGACAACACTCATACTGTGTGACGCCTTAAATTCGGACATCACACTCACCACGCCCAGTTCTGGTTCAAAAGCCCCTCAGGAGCTTCGCCGGCGGAGGAATTCTTCTTGCTAGTAGTGCCAGGTGTAGCAAAGCGCATAAGCAGCTCTAGTAACTGCGTCTGTGCCTCTTTGATACTCTGTTGTGGGTGTTAGTGAAGAAGATCGTGTGTGATGTTGCCGATTTCTTAATGGAATATACATCCGACTGATACACCTAATATACTTATTAGATATATACCAGAACTTGCATAGGCTTGGAAGATGCAGACGCACATTTTTCGGGATATAAACTCGATTCTGCCTTTAGATAGGAATGGTGACATGCGCCAGGAAATATACTCAGGCAAATTGCATGTCGACCTAAATTCGTACCAACACGCGTAGGTATTCTTGCTCTACAGTACATACACGATGCCATAGAGATTTTGCATATATGTATATACATATATAA